ATCTGAACAGCAATTAAATTACATTATTGAAGTTATTCCTCATCTTGTTACCAAAATGTTTAAAACTCCACCCCTCTCTTTCAAAGCCTTATCTGTTAATGCAAAAATGAAACAAGGTCAGAAAAAAGATAAAGGAAAATATAAAACATGATAAAATATATCAGTGCTGAAAACTGTAATTGCACTGACGATCTGTAGCATGATCAGCTTAAAATTGTAGAGCAAGACATGTAGTACTACTCAAATCACTACTTCTATCATGACTACCACTACTGCACTACTACCGTCACTACCCTCTGCAATCACAATTGTTGTTATTGCTGCTGTCACTATTTCTGTCACTACTACCACTTTCATTATCTCTACTACCACTACCATTGTCACTGCAACCACTACAACTGCCTCAACTACCACTACCATAGTCAATGCTACCACTACCACTGTCTCAACTACCACTACCATCATCTCTACTACCACTACTATTGTCTCTGCTACCACTACCACTGTCTCTACTACCACTATTACTACTACCTTCTCCAACTGTGCCAACGTGCAGCCCATAACTGTGTCTAGTACACAAAAATTAATGTCCGTTACAGGAAACAGATGCCTGCTTATTCAGCCTTATACTGTAGGTACTAATGATTACAGCAACAGTTTGACAATATCCAAAAACCAAAAACACTTTGCTAGAAGTCCAGCAAATCGATCTCTAAGCAGCAGAGATATAGAGGATAGAGACTTAATAGGTATTGTGCTACGGATACAGGTTTGCAATATAAAGCTGAGAGTCTTGGAAATCAAGGATCAGATCAGAAAATAATTTTGTTCTCTCAGTTCTCCATTCCTCGTTATCCAACACATTGTGGGAGGATGGCAGGTTCAGACAAGATGTGGCTTATCTTCTGAAATACTGAGAATATCCCACTATAGGGTACCAAAATGTTAAATACTCACCGTCCTCATCCTCATCATCATCCTCGTCCTCGTCGGAAGAGTCACCTGTCAATGAAAATCAAGGAAAATGTCAGTACGGGTGAAACAGTGATGACTGCAGTAACAGTATGGAGCTCCACACTCTCACAACCAGACTCCAGCACACAGCTGCCACCCAGCAGATGTCATGATCTTTCTGACCTACTGCGGTACAGTCAGCATCATTGCACAGGTGTATTTATAAAATATAAATGAATACTTTTCTTTTGTTTTTCGTTCATGCATAGATCACGGTGCATACAATACAGTGTACATACTGTCTACAGTACATCATAGTACTTAGATTTAAACTATTCTGGGAAGTAGAAAACCAAAACATAAATCTGATTTTAAAATCACCTTTAGAACTTACCATTTTCCATCTTGCTTTCCAGATCTGAAGCGATTTTGTTTTCGTGAATGCCACGCAGAATTTTAATTGTGTTTTCAACTGCTCCATGTTCCTGATAGACAGCAATCAGACGTGTTGCCAGGTCTATCATATCATATTTGTTGACTTCTGCTCTAGGGAACTGGCCATCTTTTCCCATGTCAATGAGCTTCTCCTTGAATCTCTTCAACCTGTCTGAATCCAGACTACCCAGGCTGTCGATGATCCGGTCCTTGATGGTTGAGCTCATTTTCTATAAATCTCTTCTCCAATTCCTCTGTGGATATTTATAGTACAATGAAGCAAAGTCTTTGTAAAAAAGTTTAAGTTCAACCCAACTTCTCTCTTCAATACCAATGAAAGAAAAGCTGAGGTGATTTTAAGCAAGCTGATACGATACAGTGTTAAGAAATGTTTATCTCCTGTCTTGTCGTCTCTCCTTCAGAGTTCTTCTCTGTGGCTTTGACTTGCTGACGTCACTCTTCAAACCTGCTGTTTCACAAGTGTGTCTTGGGGCGGGATCTTGGGTACCTTTTTCTGCCCTGATGTACTTAAAAATAAAATGTTTACTTACCTAAAATAACTTCCTAAATACAATGATTGCGTTTTCAACATTAAGAACAAAATAAACAGATTTTTTTAATGTTTCCATTTCTTTGGATGCCATTAAACAAGTATCACTTAATTCCTTACAATGATAAACAATAGTCTTTTTTTTCCAGTGAAATAAAGTACAATAAGAACAAAACAAGTTTTAAGTGTTACAAAGTCCAACAGTGTGTCCAACCCCTTGTAATGCATTAGAGACCACCAACTCTACTGTTCCTGATTGTTTATGAAATGCTTCATATTCTAGAAGAAGAAATACAACCTAGTTTCTCTTTTAATACATGCTAACATATTGACTGGAATTTTGTTAATCCCTCAAAACATAGAAAAGCTTATGAAGGAAAACAAGCTTTGCCTTTTTTATGATTTTATCAGCAGTTATTCTTCCACTGGAATATATAAGAATTTGAAACATAATTACAAGATTTGCTATTGAAAACTCAAAAGCACTGTTGTTTCCTTACACACACTGCATTGCTGTTTTTCAAACGAGCTATGAAAATGAAGACCCTTCATACACTACCTTCCCAAAGGGCCTCCAGGGCTCAGAGACCAGTGAGCAGTCCTCACAATTAATGTACCTCTGACATTAATCACTGTTGGAGTGATCTGGGGTGAACTTTGGCTGAATGGGCTCAGAGACCAGTGAACAGACACAGACTTGTCCAAGCTGTACAAGAGGAAAGTGTCAGAATCCCCAGAATCCCACAAGACAGCACCAGCAACCTGGAGCAGAGCAGGTGGATGAACTTATCAGTGACCACAGACACACACTGCTGATCTATACAGAAAATATTTGTTGCCATCTGATGGCAAATTTTAACCTGTGGAGTCAATTTACCTGCAGTTATATAGCTCGGAATATACCCTAATCCAGTGGAGACCTGATTGGGAGTTTTGTGTGAATTTACTGACAGAATATTTAGTTGTACAGTAAATAGTGTGAGTCTACTTTGGCTATTAGGAATCAATCGGCGGAACAACAGGGACTCTTCAGGAGGATTCACAACACACAGAATGCACTATTTAAGGATAAAAGCATTTGAGATAAATATAGTACATGAGAGTCTCATTGGATACAGATGGCAACTTGTCACATGAGAATTATCAAGCCATAATGAGTATATAGAAATGACTCATAAAACAAGGATAATACATACTGTATACTGTAGCAAAAGATCAATTACACTAGCTTGCTTATCAGTCTTATTAACAGGGAAGTTGGCAATGTTGATGATGACAGGGAAGCAATACCATTTACAATATTTGTATTTTGATCAGTTAGGTAAAATTGAAATTCACCTTTCTTCCGGTGAAAGACAAAATTTCCATCGTGTGGAAAAACCTTTCTTTTTGGTAATATTTTTGATACAAGTCTCTTCTTTTGCTGTCAAGACAATTTTAAAGACTTGATCTGGAAAATGGAAGTGTAAGAACTGCTGACAGACATTGTTTTTTCTCTGCAGTTCAGAGATAATTACAAAGGCAGAGGGACGTGCTTTAGGTCACACAAGAAGAGGTGAGGTGAGGTGAGGTGAGTTTATAAAACCCTTCGTGTTTCTGTTTCACTTGTCATATCTTCAGTCCGCTTGTTTGCTTAGCAATAAACCACATGACTAAGGTCGAAAAATACATTTTTATGAACATTTATGTTTAATAATTCATTGAGGTGCACCGATTAGTAACACGCAAGTACTATAAAAAACACAACTATGAAACAAAAAACACAAAAATAAAAGGGTAAAGGTTAATTTACAATAAAAGTCAATAATTAACAACATTTTCTGGCTCGTGGGCTTTGAAAAACATGCTTTACCAAGAACCTCAACACATGTTTAACTCACAAAGCATGGATCAATGAGGTTGCACAGAAAAAAATGGAAAACATACAGTAAAAAATAATGAACATAAGAAGCCCATTAGAAGCATATTTTACAGAAAAATTAAAAAGAATAAAAGTAGAGAAAAAAAGAGTTCAACAGCACAGGAAGTGAGAAACAAACACAACTGAAACTTACAAGAGGGGATGTTCAGAGAGACAGACCATCAGCGTGAACACACACATGCTGCTGCCTTCAGATACTGTATGTTCATCGTCTTTTAAACTTCAACTAAAAATAATTAGGTGGCTTTTAGCGGAAGGCAACAGAACAAAATGTGGTACCAATGCTGAACAAATTATTTCTTTAAGAAAGAAACCATTTCATTCAGAAACATGTTTTTAACACATAACAGATAAAAATGTATTTGTTACCAATTGCTACAGGTATCTTGTAGAGCAGGGGCATTTCCGGAATAAAGGGATAAGCAGCATGGGGGTGCAGTGATCCGCATTGCTGTATTTCATTGCTGGGGTCTGGGGTTCAGTTCCAGACCTGGGGAGCTGTCTGCATGTATTATTCCACAAATAGACCTGAGGTCACCAATCATAAACTCACTTACTGTACATCTACTGAGTGGACAATCCCTAAACAGTTAGAGAAAGTGCATTCATTGAGGTTGTTTCTATTGTCTTATGTCCAACATTATGTGAACAAAGGAGATTACTGAAAGGCAGCAGAGCAGGCAGGATAAAATACAGACAATGAACTGCGCGTTTGAAAAAACATAATTTATTTTTCTAAATAATCAGTTTTAATATTTTTACAGCCTTCTCTTTTTTGATTAGAAACTTTTATAGCATAAGGATTTTCATAAAAATCTCTGGCTAACAGCCCTCACAGATGTAATAATTCCATGCTGCTTTTATATATTACTGATCTAAATGTCATTTTTGTAACTCTCACAGGGTATTCTGATGATTGTAATGCTTGATGTTAAAGGAAGTTAGAAATCAGTGGAAATAGAGCTCGAGTAACAAAACTGATGGCGCTGTTATTTTAGTTTTTGCTTGATCAACGAACAACACAA